CAGAAGGCTTTCTTCTCACTCCCTGCTGATTTACTGTAATTCCTTTTCAGTGGAGTTGACTCCTTGCATACCAATAGGTATTTTGTCTCAGAAGACTGTGCTGGGAATTGAAATTTTCCCAGAGGGAGGGGACCAGAGAGAAGCTGTGGCCTGTGTTAAAAAACACTGAGCAACAAGACAGTGACGTGCTTCACAGAGAACATACATACCTTTGTCAGAGACTGAAACAGTTAATGATTTATGCATTCTAAGAGACTTCTGCAGGCTTTTGACTTTCTGATGGGCAACTGGGCCCATCCCCCCCCTCCTCCAGTGCAGAAGATGTCAAGCCCCGAAAAGGCAGGAAGAGCCGAGTTTACCACGCCCTCCACATGAACTCCGCGCCAAAAAGGGAGACACCAACCTATGAAAACAACTCCCCACCCTGGGGGAGGTGCAAAGGATATGGATTTTGACTGGTGACTTTGGGGGTTTGGCGGGGTTTTTGCTTTTCCTTCTCCCCCCACCACCTGCGGATCAAGACATCGCTGGATCCAGTGGGCGGTAATTATCTCATCTTCTTTTTTTTCTTGCTCTCCCTTACTCTTACCCTGTCTTTCTCTCCCCTATGCATTTTTCTCCTCCCCAGAAAGGTTATGACAGCACCCAAAATGTTAACATACCTATTGATACAAAATTGTTAAAATAAATCTTGTCAATATATGTTTTCAAACACCGATTATTTAGTGTCGTTTCACTTTAATCCACCCCAAAGGAATTATTGATAAAACCTGGGTTACCCCCTCCCCCCCTTTTTCCTGGGGCGGGTCGTAACAACCTTGGCCCCTCTCCTCAGTAAAACAAGATATGGGCTGGGGAAGAATTTTGTAAATTCAAAGAAAATTATCAACTGCAAAAGCATGTTCTTTCAGTTAAAGGTAAGAGATATTACATATATTGTTGTCCTGATACGCTCTTCAAAGAGACAGCTGTGGCTGTGTACATCCCAATAGCTACAAGTCCCAAATAACAACCACAGAGAATGTTCTTCTTTAGCAAATTGCTTACAGATTGTAAACAACCCCTTTTGCACTCCTGATTCCTTATCTGTTGTTATCAAGTGTTCAGGTAAGATTTCTTGATCTCTTCATTCTATTTCTGTAGAGCTTTCCAAAAGCCATTTCCTAAATCTACACTATTCCTTAAAATTTCAAGCAGGCTTTTTAAAAACAAACTGACAGTAGCGTTTTATACATACTCAGACCTAAGAGAATAATTACAACCGCAGTTTTCCAGAATTACATTGCTTCAGTGAAAGGTGAGCCCACAGGGTATTTCCAGCTCAGATTACCTCCTACTTTTTATGCCCTCATCCTTTAAGTAGCCAGAGACAGTTCTACTTCAAAAGAAGGCAGATTTAACTCAAAGTGATTACTGCACTGCCACCAACAATGACTTTAACAGGGCAAGTATGTTATTGGTGTATCAGTTTGGTATGAAACTAAATCAGTGGCATAATTATTCTGTATTTTATCAGCAGAGTAATAAGACACAGTGAGCAGAGACGAACTGCAATTAAGATGGGTCTCAAATATTACTTTAAAGTTACTTTTGCTAAGAAGACCAGATTGTGAAAGTCTCCTTGCACACAAATTTCTTCTATAACCAGAAAAACCACCATTTCTCCCTGAAAACTTGGAGGGTTTGAGAGAGACCATTCATTCCTACACATCTGCTGAAAGCATTTTCATTTTTCTTTATGAACAACAACAAGAACTAAGCAAATCTCATTTATGACTCAAAGACCTCTCCAGTTAGTTATACAGTTTGTATCACTTGTAAAACAAGTTGAGAAACTCAGGATTTGGATTTGCATTCATTCTTCCTGAATAGGTAAATACTTGCTGCTAATCTTTACGGAGTAAATAAAGCTCAGTTCAAGGAGCAAGCTTCCCATAACCAGAAAGATTGAATTCATCACTCGCCTCCCAGGAACCCCAGATTCCACTGGAATCCATGGAGCCGAAAACCAGGGATTTCAAACACACTTATACATAGATACAGATACACACAAACAAAAAAGCACTCAGAAACCATCTTTCCTTATATTCCACATCTGTCTGTGGAATAACCTCTGAACCTAGACAGCTTCTTCAGATAAAGGCCATTAGTGAGGACAACTAAACTTTCCCTCTCTTCCATGCCACCATATCAGAGGAATTCCTAAATTACAATGGATAAATCGATGAGAACTTGGCTGATGGCAACTTTGACACATACACAGGTTCCCAGTAACACAACCCTCTCTACTGTTAAATTAAGAGTTGGAAAACAAACAGCACCTGTGCAGGATATTTGCTCATGTGCTACAACAAAAGCAAATTTTGAATTTGACACATGATGGTGCACAGGCACATACACACTCGTCCTACCACTTCAGGCTCCTCAGACATGCACTTCTCCAGGCACAAAACACAGAAAACAGGAAATTAGTCCAATGCACCACTTTCATGTTATGCTTCCTAAAGCATCAGCTCCTGGGGTTTCAAAGAAAGCTTCAAAGACTGTTCCGTTACTGAACAACCGTATTTTACAGGGATGGAGGGAAAAGCACTGAAGAAGGATGGGCTACTAGATTGGCCCCAAAATCCACCTTTCCCAGCATCCCATCTCTAACACTGGAATGCCAAATTAATTCCATGGCAGCCATAAAGCACAGTATTTTCCAAGCAGCAGCTGAGGAATGCTTCAAAACAGAATAAACACCTTGGTATTGGGTGGTGGGGCAGGTGCTTGTCCCAGGTTATCCAGTTGTTTTTAACCTACACAGACCCACTGCAACTGCATATTATGGATGTCACACAACTGCAGCTTCAACATCTACTGCACGAAGAGCACTACCTTCTGCCCAGTCTGAACTACAACTTGATGACGGCCTTTGAAGGCCATCAGTGGATGGAGAACAACCCTGCCATGTCTCTCCTAGCCACAAACATTTTCTGCTCCATTTTGAATCCTGGAGATGACTGTGATGACTCCTCCACTGATTCCTGTCCAGCCTGTAACCTACACTGTGGATTCCTGTAGAAAAACTACTGCACAGCTTTGGTTATCCTCCTTGTTCTCCTCTGTGTGCCTTTCCCACCACTCCAAAACTCCACTGGTAACCTTCCCACAGTACAAAAACTAACCCAGTGTATTTCTAAGCTGCTTTGTAACTTTTGCCTTATCATTCACCCCTGAGATAGCCCTGTGTTACTGCATGGCTGCTTAGTATCTCTACAAACTATGCACATATTGACTTTTGCAATTTCAGGTGTGAATGCTTTCATTTGTCTTCCTCATCCTTGTCACCGATTCACTCAGAAAAAACTCCAAGAGACTTCAGAAGAAAGACTTTCTTTGCCAGAAGCTGCTTTGACTCTTCCCCGGGCTACCACATTCTCCCCCACGTCCAACAGCAGTTCTGGTTTTGTAAAATACTTTTCACCACTTTTCCTGGCATAGATGACAGATGAGCTCCTGTCAATCTCTCAACATCACCCATCTGGCTAGTCTGTGCTGTAAACTCCATGGTCAGCACTTACACTTCCAGTGTCTTTTAATAACTTTGGCTATATCTGCTTATGAAAAGGAAGCATAATACTCTGTTACATTTGCCCTTTTCTTACCTTTGAATCTTTTGGGTTGGGGTTTTTTTTCCCCACTCATGCATGTGTTTTCACTCCTTGCAAGACAAAAGTAGAACGCAAAACAATGCCACAACACTCAGCAGCAACACCCAATACTAGAAGGCAGAAGCAACAAGAAGATTACCCACTCAAATGCTGTCTGACTATCCTGGGATATTGTTTTAATATACACATACATGAAAAAATAAATAGACAAACTATACCTCATCTTTTTTTAAGTATATGCAAAGACTGAACCCAAAGAGAAGAGAGACATTATCAAAGAAACGTATTTGTCTCAAAAGAAGTAAAAAGAATTGGTTTAGTATTTCTTTTAAGACTTTGGGTAAAAATTATTTCAAAATAAAGACATATACCACTGATGTGCATACTCCACCTTCCATTTTTACTCAACTTCTGTTCCTCTAAATCCTTCAAAGATTATTCTGGTGATATTTTGCTCAGTCACCACAAGTTTGGAACAGCAAACCATCCTCTCATGGTGAACCCACTACCTGAAGAACACCTACTACTATCATGTGTTGTGTCTGTTCAGCCTGCTGGAAGTAATAGTCCTGGAAAGCTGATCTATAAACTTCAGTCAAGAGACTCTACAGGAGAAGCAACTGAACACTTTCAACTAAATATTTCTACTAACAGGAAGAAAAGTGATTTCAGTGACTAACAACCACATTACCGCGTTAAAAATGGTATCAGCAACAGGAGGAAAATACACAACAAAACAGTTTGCAGGATACTACACAGCAGCAGTTGTACACACTGCTATTTAACTAGCTAAGTTCACATTCTTCACAAAGGACTTCCATCTCTCTGGCAACACTGTACAGTCAGGAGCTCTGCCATGAAAGTCTAACCTTCTCATGTCTTCCCAGCACTACTGAGTTTTGGAGGCAAAAGGCCAAGGTCCCACAAAATTTGTAACGCGTTTAGAAATGAACATCAACCATTTATGCTTACAAACATATTTGGAAATACAAATGTATATCTTGGTGCATTTTCCTCTTTTCTTTAATTATTAAAACATTAGTACACAGGAAAGAAAGCCAGAAGCCAACCCAAGATTGGTAACCACAATTTACAAAGGGGGTAGGGGTTTTAGTCAGAAGTGCCATTACTTGCAGCTTCTAGTATTTCATATATTACACAGCAAATGCTATAACATGCATTCAATGTCCATTTTCTAAATATCATAAAATGACAGATAAATGTTTTGGCATACCAACACTGACCGTATGCCCATCAGTTGGAACATGTGAGAAACATTTTCTGTTGCAGAGATTGTCTTGGTAATTCACAGTCTCACAGAAAACTGGCTAGAAGAAACCCTACCTTCTCTTCCTGACGGGCTCTGTCGGCATTTTCCATCTGAAAGCTGTGCAAGGACTGGATTTTGTAAATCTGCTGTCGCTGCTTCTCTAGCTCCCCTTGGAATTCATTCTTTTTGAGCTCCACAGCACCCCTCTCCGCTGCCGCCTTCCGGACTTTGCCTTCCAGATCCATGACTCGACCCTGAGGAAAAGCACATTAGCCAAAGCCAACAGAAATGCTTCCCCCTTGCCAGACTCTCCTCCAATACATTCAAGGAATAGCAAATTTCACAGCTCTAACAACATTCATGTAATTGAAGTACTACATCAGCCAGGGATACTTTCCATACACACAGACACACATCTCCCCAGTTTCACATAAATTAACAGTATAGCATATTTTGTCGAGACTGTCAAAATTTCAGTTAAAGATAAAAATGGAAAGCTGCCTCCGTACTTGAGCTTAAAAAAAAAAAAAAAAAAAGATTACAGTCCACAATCCTTCTGATATACAAGGCCAAACAATTATTTTAATTCAACCCTCACAATTCTGACATCTCTGCACTTCCCAGTGTTGATACTAAACCAACTCAAAGTGAAAACTCATCTCTCAAATCAATCTGTTTTCCTGGAAGACCTATGAAAGAGCAGAGAGATGACAACACTGCCCAATTTTCACATGAACAACTGACATATGGCTATTACACAAAATACACATACGAGAAAAACTCAATTTAGAAACAGAAAATCATCATTCTTCATGACTGCTCAAAGAACAGAGACAATCAGAAGAAAATTCAACACTACCACATATTTCACATACAAACGCAGAGACATAAGATGAGGAATCAAGCCTGATGTTAACAAAGCTCCTTTTTTTTTCCTCCCCTTCTATTTTTTTAAGCACCAATTTAGTTTTGCAGGACAGTTTCTAAACATTTTGGGTTAAAATTGTTTTTCTGCAACAATGAGGAGTATAAAGACGTGCAGGAGGGCGAGGACATCAATAGAATGTACCCAGACAAAAAGGCTTGACGATTCCAGGTGGACTAAAAATTAGATAGTATAGAAACTGTGCATGTTCCAAGACTTCAAAAAAATCTTCTTACACCACAGTAATGCTCCATATTGTGGCCCACCTACTCTGCTTCTCTGCCACAGAAAGCAAGAGAAGGGAGAGGAGGTACAGAAAAACAATAAGAAAAAAGACTTGCAGTTTAGTTGGAAGAGCAAAGAAAAGCACTTTTTCTATTTCAGTCATAATAGCTGCAAAGTCTTGCCAACAAGCAAATGGATCGACAGAGTGGTTTAGAAGGTCCATCCGTGCCCTCAGCTATGCTTTTATTCCATTTGGAGTGCGTGACCATGCCGAAATGATTTTCAGGCTAAGTTTGGAGAAATGTACAGGATAGTACAGTACATCAGTAACATCAAAAAGGACCTTATGTCTCTAGGTTATTGAGACCAAGATTAAACAAGGATGGTGGCATATTTTTATCAGTCTCAGCTGCCTCACAGCTGTGCAGCAAAGCTTCAGTGGTATTGACACAGTCACTACCTGCTGGTAGCCACCATCCTGAGGCCAATGACTAAAGGGAAAGCAAGGGATGACCAGAGCCTCAGAAGTCACAACAAGGAAGAGCCAAGACATACCCTTAACTGCATGGCCAGAGACAAGTGGCTGTTTGAACAGTGCCCACTCTGAGGTGAAACAAGAGTTTAACTCCTTCAGCTGTCAACAGTACTAAAATTCAGCTCAGTTACAAACAGGATACAAATTCACTGGTAAAATCTGGGAGGAGCTCTCATCAGTCATTACCTGGCGTCTCAGTTTAATGAGACTGAAGTATTTTGCTAAGGAGGATGAGTTATGAGGAAGACCAAATTCCTCCCTCTAAGCAATTGTAAACCAAAATTAAGAGGCACCAACTGAGGAAGTATCGAGAAAGGAAAAATAAAAGCCCTCTAGTGAAAGATATATGTGCATTGGCAGAACAACAAAAGAACACAAAAACAACCAAACAATAATCCTGTACCCAAAAACCCCCTTCAAAACGGAAACAGTTCAGTACTTTCTGCCTTTTGGCGCAATTCCAACCAGGATCGGGAGGAGGCGCTGTTGGACCACTGGAGGAGCAGAGCCTGCAGTTGCTCGGTGTTGGCCAGCAGGGGGCGCTGTTGGGCTCTGGCGGTAGCCACGTGGGGCCCGGTACGTGGGAGAAGCCGAAAATGGAGATCTGCCCCCCCACCGAGAAGGGGAAGGGGAAAAGGGGAAAAAGGGGGTTCTTCCCACAAAACTCACGCAGGCTGTGGCCAGGATTTCCTGCCCTTCATCAGTGGGCACAAGCTGCTGCCAAACACGGGATCAGAGGAAGGAAAAGGCGACCTCCTCCCCAGAAAGTTCCACTGCAGATGGGTCAAGCCTCTCCGATGAAATCCGAGCAGATCTGGGCTGGGGGCAGAACAGGGCGCAGGAAAAAAGGAGGCAAGCGGAGGCCAGAAAACAGCCAGATGACCAGGCCGAAAAACAAAGCAAACCTCGGACCACTCCAACACACACCTTGCCTGAGTTAAGGTAAAAGTGAAGTGCCTCCCGTTTCCGAGGAGAGAAGAAAAAAAAACTCATCACCCTGCCCCACAGTCTTAGGAGGGCCATGAGCTTGGAATGCTGGCCTGTTAGTTAGTTCTTTTGTGTGTGTCAACCACCCCAGCCAAAAGAACCAACCTCCCTCTCCCTCGTTCAACATCCCTCTTTCATAAGGATGAAGTGGAAAGAAAAAAAAAATTCCACTTGGTTTTTCTAGAATAAGTAAATCTATGATACCAGGTTGTTCCCTTTTAGGTTTGCTTACTAAAAACAAAGGAAAAAAAAATCCATCCTGCACGAATTGTCACAAAGCAGAAACTTGATTCACACAGCCTACTTCGGAATAAATGCTCTAGAAAAGACTAAAACACAAGCTCAACAGCCACAAAAACTAGAGTTACCATTAAAAAAATAGCAGGTAATTATTCTATGTGAGTTTTGTGTCCTCCTTTAGAAGGGCTACTAAGAAACACAAATACAGATTTTTAGACACTGAACAACCTAGATTTTCTTGTATTTCATGGGAAAGTACACATACAATCTTATAGGTCATGTAAGAGAACAAATCTAGGGAGACGGGTATGCTAGTTTTGGTTGGGATAGAGTTAACCTTCTTCACAGTGGCTAGTATGGGGCTATGTTTTGGATTTGTGCTGAACACAGGGTTGATGTTTCTGTTATTGCTGAGCAGGGCTTACACAGAGCCAAGGCCTTTTCTGCTTTTCACACTGCCTCACTGGCAAGGAAGCTGGGGGTACGTGGGAGGCTGGGAGAACATACAGCTGGGACAGGTGACCCAAACTGACCAAAGGGATATTCCAGACCATTGACATCATGCACAGTATATAGAGTGTGGGGAAGAAGGAAGGTGGGGGGGAACATTTGGAGTGATGGCATTTGTCTTCCCAAATAACTGTTACACATGATGAGGCCCTGCTCTCCTGGAGATGGCTGAAACCCTGCCTGACGTGGGGAAGCAGTGGATTAATTCTTTGTTTTGATCTGCTTGCATGTGTGGCTTTTGCTTTCCCTATTAAACTGTCTTTATCTCAGGCCACAAGTTCTCCAGCTTATACCCTTCTGATTCTCCTCCTGATCCTGGTGCTGGGGGAGTGATGAGCAGCTGCATGGGGCTTCATTACCAACTGCAGTGAAACCAGGACAGCTGAGCAAATTGCAAAAACCCATTCCCATTAAAAACAGATTGCCAGTCTCAATGTACAGTTAAGAAAAAAAAAACAGAGGATGGCATTTGCCATATCTTTAAACTGAAACAGCATAAAATAGCCAAATGTTTTGTGTGAGTAGAAGTAATATACATGCAGGTCTTCAAGTTTTGCGTCCCTCTCACCTACAAATAGGCATTCATCCTATTACCCCCATCTCCCACTACTGATAAGCAACAAATATAATATTTGCGAAAGTTCCTAAAACAACCTGAAGCTCCTGGCTTGCAATATGCAAGGGAAGCATCCTTCTTGTGAACTATGTTCATTACCCATGAAAGTACAAAACAACATGCAGAGCAAAAGGAAAATTACCTGCAGATCCATGCTGCGAGAACTCGCAATCCAGTAATTGAAACCCAAAACAATGATGCACGCCACAAGTGCAGCCATGAGGAGCGGCGAAGACTTCATCCCTCGGCAGCTGCTTCCTAGACCTACCATTTCCAAGAAAAAAAAAAAAATCCAAAGAACCACAACAGTGTGGAAACCTGCAAATTAAAAATGACACATTATATTACATCCTCCACTACAGCCATTTTATATACACAAAAAAATTTTCTTAGCAATAATGCAATAGCTCTCAGCTGATGGGCATACACCCAGCAAGGGAGGTATACTATCTAAGTATTTCCATCTGAAAGACAAAGAAAGGCCATCACACACTATTAGCTTGTACATAAAGCTTCACATGGTCTTGACGGGAATGTCTTGAATACATCTAACAATAGAATGAAAATCTGCAATAAACAGAACAAAACAGCCTTTCTTTTATCATATATTCCACCCAAAAAGTTAATTAGACAACACTGGTTTACAGAGAGAGGACAGATTCCTTATTACCTAATTTAGAGAGAAAATCAACTTAGTTTTTCTGTTTGAGAAGTAATTTGCACTTTGCTTCCTAGAATTAGACAGTTTCAAGTTACTTCATCTGATAACACTATTTTAACTTCTTTGCTCCAAGCTTGTAAATAAATAAGTCAGATTGAACCAAATTATTTTAAGGATTATCTAAAAATAAAAATAAATAAAAATATTAGCAGACACAGCATTGATTTCAATGCTAAATTGTATTAAGTGTTCTCTGCTTTGATCCTCAGATGCTTGCTTTGCTTCTAACAGAAAATAAATAACCTTTCTGAAAATAAATAACCTGCTTTAATGAATGAGCAGAACCAGGGGTACTACTGGTTGCTATTGAGAATTATGTTATTCCTATGAAACAGCACACCTTAAAAGATAAGCAGGGGCAAAGGGCAATTGCAATTCTCTATATTCTAATAGGCCATACTCATTTTATTATGTGGTAAAACCTGGTCCTAATAAGCATAATGGCACCTAGATCAACGAATCCTAAAACTCCACCGGGAAACTCAGTCACAGCTTCTAGTAGATTGCTCCCTTGTAAACTGAGATTAACTTTTTTTCTTTCTGCATTCCTGCAGACAAAAGCCAGCAAAAATGAGCACAGAAGATCAGACAGACAGCAAATACAGATGCATCACGAGACACTAGTTAAATATAAAATGGGTACATCTATTACTAACATATTGTACAGTCTCTCAAGGCAATGCTCTTAAGCAAACCAACTTCTTCCCTACAGATGCAATGCACAGGTTTCAATTAAAAGTTATTAAATGGTAGCAACTCTCAAAGGATTTACATGTGGACATGCACTGTAAACACAGGGGAAGAATGTGATGACAGGAGTTAGCAGGTACCAGAAATGCTGATTTTACTGTATTTCCAGCATTTAAGTACTTCAACAGCTCACATATACCTAAGCGTGCACATGCATACCCTGCAAGATTGCCTCTTGCATTCAAGATATAATCTATTTTCTCTTCTTTTCTCGGCACGAAGTGCACAATACTGCCAGACTCAAAAGAGTTTCAAATCTATGTGTTCATTTGAAAAGTCTGTGAATTTGTATTTGGGGATGGAGAATACAGAGAGTTCTAAGAGTAAATTGCAGCTTCCTGAGAATGTTGTCTTTGTATACACACACGCGATCACACAAACACCCCACAAAACAATCCAAAAAAAGTATGCACAGCTGCAAAGGTCTGACACCCCAGACTTGAGTTTCTTGCCTAAGGAAACCTCAGCCAAGGAGGTAACAGACACATGCAGCACAGCTCCAGTGGACACCACAGGGCCACACAGAGATGAGGTAAGGTCAACACTAAAAAGCAAAGGCATGCGAAAGAACCATGTGGGGGTTTTTTTGTAAAGAAAAAAATACAGATGCAGCAGAGTAAAACAAACATGCAGAGATATGCACAAGTTTTCAACAGAAAGTCAAAAACTGCAGAAACACATACATCTTGCATGGACTATTCTCCTCCTGTGCCTTCCTAAGATGAGTGCCTGAGAAGTACAAAGCCATCTTGCCTTACACGGGATCTCTGAAAACCAAGAACCATAGATCTCCAGAGCAGAAAGAGAGGTGGACAAAGGGGATAATCAGCACCATCACATTAGCTAAGAACAAGAGAACTGATTTGCCTCTGCATAACCAGAATAAAATACTATATTTCAAAAAAGGTGTATCAGAACCTGTCATGAAATCATTTGTATCCTGTTCTTTGCTGTAAGAGTATTAGTTGGTATATTTGAGAACACAGAAAAATTACTAAACACAGCACTGCAAGACATAATACACCATTCCAGATATTCCTTGAATAACATAATTGGTATATTCCTTACTGCTGACAGAAATAGAGAAAGTAGTCCGCATTATCAGCAGTAACAACATGCACTGGAATTTATCTACTGGATAAATATATGGGACTAGTTGTTTACCTCAGAAATTTTCAGAGGTAAAGCAACTATACTGTTCAAAGGAAGAATGATTTGTTCACCATGCAGCTTAAGGCACAGGCACAAAACCACATTAAAGAAATGCCAATACACCTAGAGAGTACACAATTCTGGCAGCATCAGCACCTTTTCTGCTGCTTTCAGCTATTAAAAACAAACAGGCAAGAAAGTGCTGATTTCACTAAAGCATTTTTGACTTTGCTCTTTCTAGAAAATCCAGTGTTGTTTGTCTTTAAATAATTTATGCTAATTAGGAATACATTTTCATACTGAACAGAAGGAAAGGCAAAAGGAAGAGGAAAGAGATGAAACACACAGAAGGATCTTCCATTTGAATAGCAGACCCAAAACTTCACCTCAGTTGCAATACTGATATTCCTTCTATCATCAGCTTAAAATAAAAACTGTTTAACTTTCTGTCATGGATACCTGCACCCATGTATTTTGGAGAAGGGATAAGCAAATCAGCTCAGTAAGTACATTTACATGAAAATGCGTTTGCACATGCTGTTTTCCAGGAAACGTCTGGCGTGGCACAGTTATTTCAGTTGAAATTAAAATGAGTTTCTGATTTTATGGGTAAAAAAGTAATTTTACTGAACATGAAGGAATCCATCTTTCACCAATGTCCACAACAGATGAGTACATGCATAAAATTCCTGACTGCTGAACAGCAGATTTCATCCTGCTTTGCCAACATAGTGATGCTTCATCAAGAAGGAGATATTTTAGACTCTAAGATATTCAAGCAAATTAACACATAGCATACTTTTACTTCCCACACTAATACACTATCAGTCTGTGCAATTCCTTCGTTTACCGGACTCAGCTGAAGTACGATAGCTGATATTGAGCAGTCTTCCACTACAGATAAGTAACAACCTCGCTGAACAAGTCTCAAGACTAAGGCTTTAGAAGTAAAGACAAAGCAAAATGGTGCATTTCAGGCTCCAAGACGAAAAGCCAAGTCTCTGCTACAGGGTCCAGTTCTGTGTACTTCTGTAAGATCTGCCAAGCAACAACTGGAAAAGATGAAAAATTCAATAGGCACACAGCGAGCAGGGAAGCAAAAGGGGTCCTTTATCCCTTACCAGCGGACCTGCCTACCAATCTCCTCCTCCACCACCCAGTCATTTCATGGTACAAAGATGAGGAGAAAGAGAAGTCTGATTAGGAAAGATTCCAAGCATGGAGGGACATCTACAGAGCTTAAATGGACTATTAATTGACTGGACTGTCTGTTATACTCCAGTTTACTATTTGGTTTTATGTCAAGTTTAATGTACCCCCATATTATTCCCCTCTATCCCTCAGACTTTCCCGCCAAAAGTTGTTTACCACCTTGTTCTCCCCTGCTTTCCCGCTCCTCTGTCACTGATTGGTTGAGGTTTGCCGCAGTGCAGAGTGAGCTACCATTTGTCCCTTCCCCTGGATACCCAGAAGTTACACCCACGTTTCCCCTGTCTCCCAATCTCATCTTACCCTGAGTTGTCAGTCCCATGCTCCTCCCCAGTTCTGAATCCTCCCCTCAGACTCACCCTATTTAAGTCCCTGTGTTCTCTCAATAAATTGGCATTGCACCCAGACCCTCAGCTGCATCTGAACCCTTTGTGTAGTGCTGCGTCCCCTTTCCCTTTCTCCCCTCGGGCCGTGGCAGATGGCACCCAACGTGGGGCGCAGTTGAAGGGCTCTCACATTGAGAGAACTCCTGTGTCCTCACTTGGGCTTGGAGGTCATCAGGAGTGGTGATCATCCCACCAGTCCCCCCCAGCTGGACAGATGACTGTGGGCTCTGAAGTCGCACGGGTCAGAACACCGGAGAGGTGAGCAGCTGGGGACATACCTTATCCCACCCCAACACCCACACCCAAGAAAAACAAAAAAGGGAGGAATACCATCAAGGACTGTTGCAGAGATCCATATAACATCAAGATGGGACTCTCGCTGTCCACCTCCCAGAAACTGGTTTATAGGCGCCTCAAGGACTTTATTATAGAGCATGGTCACCCCCTAGATAAGAAATCTGCAAGAGCACTCACCAAGTGGCTGGACTGCAAAGGTCATAAGCTTGCAGACGACACCTCTGTAGATCAGTGGCAAGCCATCAGCTACAGCCTGTGGCGAGACAATGACGAGGGGACCGCACCGCAAAGGAGGCACTGATAGCATGGAGGCTTATTCTGATGGTGCTACAGCACCAAATGATGAGCATGAATAGCAGCCTCCCAGAGACATCTACCAGACCAAAAATGACACAAGATGGCAAGAGGGGAAGAAAGACATCACGGCGTGCGGAAAATGGCGTCGGGGAGGAGGGAGACAGAGAACACGAGGAGCGAAGGCGGGAAGGGGCGCCGCGGGAGTCATCAGCGCGGGAGAAGAGGGGGCGGGCCCCCTTGGTACCACCCTCCAGACCGCCTCTGCCTCCACCTGCGCGCATCAGGGACCCCTCCCCCTACACGCCCACATGCACGCCCTCTCCCTCCAGTTCCGCCTCGTCACTAGAGAGACCTTCCTCTAGGGACGGAAGGGTAGCGAGGGGCAGGGTCAGGGCGAAGGTCAAGGCCGGTTTCCGGCAACATGGCCGCACCCATAGGGCCCATACCACCGAGGCCTACCCTGCCTGCCGCTACCCAGACTTGGACACGAACCACTCGCAGTACTCCCCTGAGAGGCAGCCAAAACTGTCCAACATTTGGAGGGCCTTCAGGGAAGAGGCTGCACAAGCAAAAGATATAGACTTTTTAAAAGCTTTTCCCATATATCTGGAGGAGGTAGGGCTTCGGAGTGGAGGCCCATCTCCTACCCCATGCTCAAAGATATTAAGAAAGCCATAGTGGAGTATGGGCTAGGAGCACCGTTCACCATCGGCCTCCTGGAGTCATTTTTCTTAGCTTATACATTAATCCCATATGACATCAGAGCGGTAGTAGGTGGACTTTTTTCCACAGTTCAATCATCCGTTTTTGAAGCGGAATGGAAAAAATTGATTACTGCCTATGTAAATGAAAAGATGGAGAGGAGGGGTATCCCGGTAAAGCAAACCATAGACATGCTTTATGGTGAGGGAAATTACTCAAGCAGAGGTGATCAGGCCCAAACTGAACTCAAATTTTTAGATGTAACAAAAGAATTGGTATTAGAGGCAGTCAAGAGGGTGGCGGACGCCTATGTCCAGACACCCTCTTTCACATTAATTAATCAAGGCCCTAAAGAACCTTTCGTAGATTTTATTACAAGGTTAAAAGAGGCAATTAGCTGACAAGTACACCAAAAAAAAAGTCAAGAAATTTTATTTAATAAATTGGTTATAGAAAAGGCTAACGAGGACTGCCAAAAGGCACTAAAAATGTTAAAAGACCCTTCTCTGCTTGAGATGATAGATGCATGTAAGAATATTGGCTCAAACTCCCATAAGGCACGTCTATTGGCCGCTGCTTTTACTGGGTCCCAATCATATTTTAATTGCAGGCAGAAGGGACACTTTAAAAAACATTGTCCCAGATTGACACCAGAACCTAATCTTCCAAAATCTCTCTGCCGGAGGTGTGGGAAGGGTCGTCATTGGTTTTCCAGCTGTATATCGCTGACCAGTATCAATGGCAAGCCCCTTCCCCCCAGAAAATCCCCAGGGCTGAGGAGAAAGGTAACCTTTAGCTCCTTACCGGATCTTCGCCCGTGCTCTTGTGAGCATTCGGGAAACAGGGAGTAGAGCGCTCAGGGGGGCGCGTTGACACAAGTAACCCCTCACCTCCGTTCCATCCTGCGCCCAACACCGCGCCCAGCTACCCCGTAGTGAAGGGGCCTCCGGCAGACCCAGTCCCTATTAAAAATCAGTGTACCCCGCTAAAGTGGATCATTTTGTCAGTGACACACCCCTCTATACATCTAAGTTCTCACGAGCAGTTGGCCAGGGTTAGGCCATCTGCAAATGTGAATCCTGACAGGATGTACTTAATGATCTCTCATTTTTCGGCCGTGGCAAAGGGCATTGTTGTGGTCCCCACTCTCCTGACAGGGTTGACAAATAATAACATCGCTATTTGTCTAACTGTGCTTCTCCCACCCGTACAGCTGGAGGACCGCTTCCCTGTCGCAAAGATGATCTCTGCTGATGACCTTCTCTGTGTGGTGTCCCAGGACGAGGAGCAGAGGAATGACTCGCTGAAGGAAGTCCATTGGGCAACTTCAGTGAGGACCTCGCGACCTCTTTTAACACGTCTTGTTTATTTTTCTTCACCTGGGCACCCGCAGAAAGTTAAGGTGGAAGGATTGCTTGACACGGGAGCGGACATTACCATCTTAGCCTCCAGGGACTGGCCGTGCAGCTGGCCGGCCCAGTCTACGGACACAAAAGTCAGCGGTGTGGGAGGCTCACAGTACCCTGTCAGGAGTTGGGAGGTATTGACCGTGTATGGGCCGGAGGGCAGGCCAGCATCTCTACAACCATACGTTTTAAATATTCCAATAACACTATGGGGACGGGATGCCATGGAACAATGGCAATTAACATTGAGAACAGAAGAAAATTTTTAGGAGGGGTCACTGAGCATGTGCAGCTGCCCAAACTGAGTTGGAAGACCGAGACACCTGTTTGGGTAGATCAGTGGCCCCTACCTATAAGAAAGCTGCAAATTCTAAATGATCTTGTAAATCAGGAATTGGCTAAAGGACACTTGGAGTCTTCCACCAGTCCCTGGAACACTCCAGTGTTCATGATTCAAAAATCCTCAGGTTCCTGGAGATTTCTCCAAGACCTGCGCAAAGTAAATGAAGTCCTGGAACCAATGGGAGCCCTCCAGCAGGGAATGCCTTCTCCATCTATGCTCCCTGCTGAATGGCCCCTAGTGGTGATTGATATTAAGGACTGGTTTTTCCACATTTATTTAAATCCAGCTCATTCGGCTAAATTTGCGTTCAGTCCCGGCCATCAACGCTTGTGAAGCCCATCGCAGGTTCCAATGGAAGGTACTTCCCCAGGGGATGAAGAATTCTCCTACAGTATGCAAGATGTTTGTGGCAAAAGTGTTGGAGCCAATCAGGAAAAGATTCCCACAGTTAATCATCTTCCATTATATGGATGATGTATTGATCTGTGCCAAAACAAAATTGGCAGTTGAGCAAACTGCCAGTTGAGAAATTTCCAATTTCCCTTGGGCTGCGGCACAAGGCCACCGTAAGCCAGGGCAGCATCTAAAGACCAAGTGCAGCTGAAGTGGCCATTGAAAAGTAAAGACACCTTCTTGGAGATCTGAGTACTTGGAACTCTGAAGAAGAACAAAGCCTTAGAAAAAGTCCTTTGGAAAGGCAGGACCATAACCAGAGGGGGGGGAGAAAAAAAAACCGAAACAACAATGACCTGCGGGCTAACGGTGCTAATGCACAGCACAGAGGACACACAATCCCATCCCAACCAGACCAGGCCAGGATGGGGAAACCTCCTCTCATTAAGGGCCCCCCACATGGTGCTATCTAATGGTGCTATTCCCATCTTTTACAGGTTCCTCTCCAATTTCCCAGTGACATTCTGGAAGAAATTGCCTTTTTTCACAAATTGTCATAAAACTCCTATGTCTGACTGCTTGGATAAAAATATACTGTATTAACCAAGCAAGTTAATCAAAATCTCTTCCATTAACAACTTAGTTACACTGAGACACAGCTAAATCAGACTACAAGGTACTACAAACTGGGTTTTATTAAGGAAAAAAAAAATGAAATAAAACTGTAAAAATAAAAAATTCTTTAAAAAGTGAATTGGAGAGCAAACATTTGGCTGCCCAGTCTTCCAAAAAAAAAAGAGATGATGGTTTACGGGTGGGTGGAAACGGAATGGTGACAAAAATCAGCCAAAACCTTTTCACTTTAGTTTTATAAATGGTTAAAACACAGTAGTTATTATCCTCGGAAGAGAAATACAGTTGTTGGTTCTCAGTCACAATGGGATCTTACTCCCAAGTACCACTATTCACAGCCACATGGTGAGAACCAGTAACAGCTAGCAGCAACGTTTATGCTTTCAATGTTGCACACACTGTCACAAAACACAGCATATGGACCGTCTTACCATCCTCTACAGAAACACTGTTTTTCCAATGGAGATTCAAAGTTTGTGTACTGAAACACACAAACTTTGTGTACTCAAGCCTTTCACAGGGACTTACAAACTGCAGGGGAAAAAAAAAACACACCCTGAAACATTCAGTAACAGCCATTATTCAAACTCTCATACTTTGGATGACTGGCTCACTTTAAGGTGTCAACCACCAAGAAAAAAAAAAAGGAAAAAATTTAAACAAGGATGCCACAGAATTACTATTTTACTGTTTACCCAAATGATCAGTCACACTTCACAGGAACAGGAAAGGAAGGGCATTTTCACCACAACACTTACAGCAACTGCACTCTCATCCTGCTTAGGAATAACCATTTGATAATCAATTCAGATCTTATGTCTCCCTTTTCTAATGCGTTTTAAACTAGAAGTAACAGATCAGAAAACTATGAAAACACTAAAAAAGCACTATCCTTTCAAAGGGGGGTGACTCTTCTTTCAAATCTCTTCTTTCAAATGACTACTTTACAAGAAATTAATAACCAAACACCCTTAATGCCTTTTATCTGATTAAAGGGAGTTCTCAAACAGGTGTGTGGCAAAACAGATGCTAGAGGTTTAAGGTAGGTATCTATTCTAATGACAGAGATTAGGTAGCCAAAGATAACTCGACAAAATCTTCTAAAATACCCACACAAAGTTTCTGGACATGCTGCCTATGTGTACTTGTAAAAACCAGTACCACCACCTGAAAATATTGTGCATGAAAACAAAATTAGACAAGCAAATTTATACACCAGAACTATCTCAACAGTTAGTCAGACTGTTTAATTCTTTTTAGGAAAATATTTTGTTGCCAGTATTTTTTCCATACAACATGAACTATCTTGGGATCTTAGTATCACAATTAATAGGACAGCCACTTATCTTAAACAAAGATTAGGAAACCCACTCAATTGCTACCATTTCCCCACCACAGCAATACTACACATATGGTTTCACTGTAAAAAATTTAGATCTCCCCCAGGAGAAACAACTGATCAACATTACAAATAGTTCTTTAAGAGCAAAGTGCTGTTAAGATGTAAGGCTGTTCAAAAAGAATCAACTAAAGAGCAAGATTAATTAAAAACCTGATCAACTCCTCCCATCTTCAAGCTGACAAAGGATCAAATAAAGCAAAGTAAGGCAAACCTCCTGGGTGCAGAAGACAAACCAAATCTTCACTGTGTACCCTACAGTCAACCCAACATTTCTGAGGAGGTGATGGTAACACTTTTTCAAGCAAAAGCAGGAAGGCTTCTGGAGGCACGAACTTGCGAAAAGCTGTCAGTCCCCACAAGCAGGGGTAAGATCTCCACAGCTCTACCCGGGGGGGGAGAAAGCAGTGAGCAGGCTGCCGCAGGGCTACCTCGGCGGACAAGGGTGAACAGTCCCAGGTCACAG